GGAGAGATGGCTCAGTGATTAAGAGCATTGGCTGCTCTTGTAGAGAACTTGGGTTAGGTTCCCAGCACACACATGGTGGCTAACAACCATTAATAATTCCAGTTTGGGGGGACCCAACACCCTCTTCTGGCTTCTGCATGCATGGGTGCACTTACAAACATGCAGGCAAACATACACATAAAATAAAAATTTTAGAAAAAAAAGAAGCATGATTTAATGAAAACAATTTCACATGGAAATAAAACTGAGTCCATCAACAATTTTAGCAAAGTAACTTTGAAACTAATGAGTCTTCTGCTGTTCCTATGACAAGGGAAATAAACCCAGTCAGAGAGCTCATCTCAACAGAGCAGAACTGGCAAGTATTAGAACACTATTTTTCAATACTAATCCAAATGAGAGTTACTATAATTCAATTTAATGACTCTAAACAGAGAAGATAGGACACAAGGATTCTGCTTTATATCTTAAAGATGAACCAGCATTTCATTTCTGCATTTGTGAAATCCAAATGAGAAGAATTTCAAAGAGGGTGAAATATAACTTCCTTTTTCTTTGAATTCTTTATCTTTTAAAAGCATCTTTGTGTGTGTGTGTGTGTGTGTGTGTGTGTGTGTATGATATGTATGTATGGGGTGGGTATGGGTGCATGACAACCACAATGTGCATGTGGCCATCAGAGGACACCTCAGGTATTGATTTTTGCCCTTTGTCTTCTACTTGTTTGAGACAGGGTCTCTTTGCCATTAACTGCTGGCTGCATATATCAGGCTACTTGGCCCAAGAGTTTCAGGGAATTCTGGGTTAGCTTCTCACTGTAGGTGCACTGGGATCATAGACATGCATGATTGCATCCACATTAATTCAAGCTCAGGTTCTCATGCTTGCATGGCAAGCACTTTACTCATTGAGCTTGTCAAACAGGCTAGGTTGACTGGCCAATGAGCCCCAAGAATCCATTTGTTTCTGTCTCTCCAGTCCTGGGATTACAAGTGCATGCACCATTCCTGACTTTTTTTTTTTTTTTTTTTCATCTTTCTGAGACAGGGTCTCCCTGTAGCCCCAGCTGTCCTGTAACTCACTATGTAGAACAGGCTGGCCTTGAACTCACAGAGATCTGCCTCTGCCTCCCAAGTACTGGGATTAAAGGTGTGCGCCACCACGCCCAGCCATTCTTAGCTTTTTAAAAGTGGATGCTAGGGATCAAACTCAGGCCCTCATGCTAGTAAGGAAGGTACTTTACCCACTGAGTCATCTCCAGTCTCCCAATTATTTTTTAATGAGTGGTAATAGCAGCATCTTTTCCCCTTTGGCAACAAAGGCATGTAATGCACAATGTGTTACCGCAGCAAAATGTCTTAAGATAGAAAAAAATACTGCACCACAGAGTAAGACTGTGACAATAAGACACTTTGCTTCATCTGTTTGGATTTCCCACATCTCTCTCTTTCTTTCCTTTTTCTTTCATGTTTAAGAATTTTATTATAGCTAGGCATGGTAGCTCAGGCCTTTAATTCCAGAACTTGGGAGGTGGATCTCTGTGAGTTCAAGGTCAGCCTGGTCTACATAGTGAGTTCCAGGCCAGCTAGGGCTATAGGGAGACCCTGTCTCAAAAGACAAAAAAAAAAAAAAAAAAAAGAATTTTATTATAGCTTGATGTGGTAGCCCAAACCTAGGATCTTAGGATTTGAGAGGTAGAGGCAGGAGAATCAAGAGATAGCTGTAATGAAATGCTTCTTCTAATCATGTAGTTATTACTTCATGTTAAATAGTAGAGGGGATAAACATTACCAGTAAAATCTACCTGATGACGTTATAGCCACTCTCAAGTACTAGGGATCTGAGTGTAATCAGATACATAGTAATAGATTAGAGGCACCTGTGCAAACATCTAAGCGTTAGTAGCATAAAAATGTAGGAAACAGCATATTTTAAAATGAAATGGAGATCTTCAAAAATTTTATAGCCACTTTTAAAGAGGTGTATCTTTGCTCTGGAATGTGTTACTGAATATGTTAAAACTGTAATGAAATGCTTCTTCTAAAAAAAAAAAAATGGAGTATAAATAAAAGTATAAGTTGAAAAACAAAAGAGATAGCTTTGGTAACGGTAATTTCAAGACTTGTGCAAATGAGATCTTGCATCACAAATCTTAATATAATGCCCAAGACTTTAAATGTACTAGAAGAAAACAAGGATGAGACTTCAATATATTGGCACAGGCAAGTTCCTGAACTTGTCTTGAATAGTTGAGTAACCAGGTCTCTTAATATACCAAAACTTCTTTGAAATTCTAATATAAAAAGGCCAAAAGGCATTATGTTGGCAAAGAAGAAAGAAAAGGCATGCAGGAAAAGGGAGTCTGAAATGAGCCTAAATACTCTCATAATGAAATGGGGTCGTCATAAAGCCAACAGGTGCTTAAAGGGAGCCCTACAAGAATGGTAGTGTATGGCACTAAGTGTTACTAACACTATGTCAAACCTTACATTGCAAAGCCTTTAAACTAAGTCTACTACTTCCTTGCTGTACTGTCACACGTGTTCATCATGGAAAAAGACAACGAGCAATTATTAGAGGCATAGTATTTCATGCTCATTCAGGAAATGCTTCCAGAGCACCATATACCCCCAGAAACTTATGGTGAAGACTGGGTATTCACAGTAAACATAACATAAAAGAAAATATTCCTGTATCCAAGGAGCATACAGTCTAGTACCTAATAAAGGAAACATGCAAAATCATAATAAAAGGTACTCTAAAGAAAAAAAAAATATATATATATATTTGATTTTAATATGGGGCTATGGAAAAGTTGCATTACAGATATGAAATTTAAGTAGATACTTGATTGATGTGTATGACTCAATTGAGGAGTACAGGCAGAGAGGAGGCAGCCCACACAGAGGAGGCAGTCCACACAGAGGAGGCAGTCCATACAGAGGAGGCAGTCCATACAGAGGAGGCAGTCCATACAGAGGAGGCAGTCCATACAGAGGAGGCAGTCCATACAGAGGAGGCAGTCCATACAGAGGAGGCAGTCCATACAGAGGAGGCAGTCCATACAGAGGAGGCAGTCCATACAGAGGAGGCAGTCCATACAGAGGAGGCAGTCCATACAGAGGAGGCAGTCCATACAGAGGAGGCAGTCCATACAGAGGAGGCAGTCCATACAGAGGAGGCAGTCCATACAGAGGAGGCAGTCCATACAGAGGAGGCAGTCCATACAGAGGAGGCAGTCCATACAGAGGAGGCAGTCCATACAGAGGAGGCAGTCCATACAGAGGAGGCAGTCCATACAGAGGAGGCAGTCCATACAGAGGAGGCAGTCCATACAGAGGAGGCAGTCCATACAGAGGAGGCAGTCCATACAGAGGAGGCAGTCCATACAGAGGAGGCAGTCCATACAGAGGAGGCAGTCCATACAGAGGAGGCAGTCCATACAGAGGAGGCAGTCCATACAGAGGAGGCAGTCCATACAGAGGAGGCAGTCCATACAGAGGAGGCAGTCCATACAGAGGAGGCAGTCCATACAGAGGAGGCAGTCCATACAGAGGAGGCAGTCCATACAGAGGAGGCAGTCCATACAGAGGAGGCAGTCCATACAGAGGAGGCAGTCCATACAGAGGAGGCAGTCCATACAGAGGAGGCAGTCCATACAGAGGAGGCAGTCCATACAGAGGAGGCAGTCCATACAGAGGAGGCAGTCCATACAGAGGAGGCAGTCCATACAGAGGAGGCAGTCCATACAGAGGAGGCAGTCCATACAGAGGAGGCAGTCCATACAGAGGAGGCAGTCCATACAGAGGAGGCAGTCCATACAGAGGAGGCAGTCCATACAGAGGAGGCAGTCCATACAGAGGAGGCAGTCCATACAGAGGAGGCAGTCCATACAGAGGAGGCAGTCCATACAGAGGAGGCAGTCCATACAGAGGAGGCAGTCCATACAGAGGAGGCAGTCCATACAGAGGAGGCAGTCCATACAGAGGAGGCAGTCCATACAGAGGAGGCAGTCCATACAGAGGAGGCAGTCCATACAGAGGAGGCAGTCCATACAGAGGAGGCAGTCCATACAGAGGAGGCAGTCCATACAGAGGAGGCAGTCCATACAGAGGAGGCAGTCCATACAGAGGAGGCAGTCCATACAGAGGAGGCAGTCCATACAGAGGAGGCAGTCCATACAGAGGAGGCAGTCCATACAGAGGAGGCAGCCCATACAGAGGAGGCAGTCCATACAGAGGAGGCAGTCCATACAGAGGAGGCAGTCCATACAGAGGAGGCAGCCCATATAGAGAACAGTCCTGACAAAGACCCTGAGGAGGGAAAGGCCTCACTATACTTGAAAAGCTGAAAAAAAAATGCTAGTTTAGAGTAAGCTGAGCAAGGAGAATGAAGACAGGGAGTAGCCAGGATCCACAGAAGCTTTGGACTGTATAAAGAAATTTAGACCTTAAAAGCAGTATGAAACGAAGCCTTTAAAATCAGCTTTGACGAGATCGGAGATAAGACTTAAAATATGACTCTCCTTTTTTCTTCCTCCCTCCCTCCCTCCATCCCTTCTTCCCTCCCTCCCTCCTTCCTTCCTTCTCTTTCTCTTTTTGAGATAAGGTCTCCCTGTAGCTCCAGTTGGCCTGGAACTCTCTACATAAACCAGGCTGGCCTTGCCCTCCGGAGATCTGCCTGCCTCTGCCTCTGCCTCTTGAGAGTGCTGGGACTAAAGGTGTGTACCACCATCCCCGCACCAACAGTGTTCTCAGTGCCCATGTTTTCCACTGGGGAGCACCGAAAAATATGTGAGCCACGGCTGCCAAACTCTAGAACCCTTGGTAAATCACAAAGGGCAATGTAGGGAGCAATTCTGTAAATTGTTATTTACAGAGCATTTGACAACTGTGTCCATTGTGTTTTGTGGTATTTAGATCACTTCTGAGTGAGAACAATTGCTACTCTTCAGTCTCTAGAAACAACAACATAAAACTCCATTTTGCACAAACTCTTACCACTAACAAGGCACTATCATCAGTGTGCTGAGACCTTCTGGATGGGAAGGGACACTGGGGAGGTGAAGAAAAATGAAGCAAGGTCAAAAACAAATGGCAACATACTTCACAAGTACAAACACAGGAAAGCAACATATTAAACACGCTGTCAAAGATGCTGACACACAGGACCACATTCACAACTCTCTGTAGTTCATACACCATCAGAGTCAGGGACTTGATTCTGACTACTGATTTTCTTCCAGAGAGTTTAAACAACCTCAAACGCAACCTCACTGCCTAAAATCGTCTCAAACAAGGGCAGAACAGGGCTATTCTCTGGTCACAGAGAGAAAGCTGAAGTGCTGATAGACCTAGAACAAAGCACTTGTGGTCATTTTGTAAGCCAGTGACAAGTTAAAAAATAAACGTGAAGAGTCATGATTTCTGTGCTAGTACAAATGAAAATTTCAAAACTCTGGCTAATTTTTGTGAAGCTTTAGTTTCTGGACAATGAATTATTTGAGAATAACCATCAAAAAAGGGAGTGTGAGCTATGTGTGGTAGCACACAGCACTTGGGAGGTAGGACCAGGAGTTCAAGGTCATCACATACATAGTAAGTTCAAGACCAACCTGGGCTACATGAGAATACATCTCAAAACAAAAGACATTTTTTAAATGTTGGGGTAAAAAATGTATTATGCTCATCAAACTGTGTGTAGAATTATTACTACAGGAAGAAAAGACAACTGAAAATGTGTGACACTTGGGCTTCACACCAGTATGAAGTGTATATAAATCAATCACAGTAGTTACTAAGAACTTGTGATTTAAAAACACTATGCTGGAAAAGGCGCCACATTAGGTTGAAAGTGTTTTTTTATTACATTTATGTATTTGGGGAGGAGGGGCATATGTGACACAGTACACATGTGGGGGTCAGAGGACAACTTGTGGAAATCGGTGGTCTTCTTCCACCATGTGGGCTCTGGAGATCAAACTCAGGTTACCAGGCTTGGCAGCAAGTTGCCTTTTCCTACTGAACCATCTTGCTGGCCTCACATTAGGTTTTCAAATAATGTATTTTACAAAGTCAAAATTCATACAAAAATCTCTAAATTTTTAACAATGCAATGATTATAACTTGAAAAAAAGGGAAGGTAAAAGTAAGGGAAATGGTCAATGAGAAAGTCAACTATAATAATAAATACTGGTTTTAGTAAGCTTCATTTTAGCAGACCAAAATAGGTACAGATATTTTTTAACGTTTAACCAATTAATTTAAAATATTTATTTGTGATGAAATGTCCTGGTAGATACAGACCTCAACTGTACACAGCACAGCTGATAACAGTCAAATAAGCACTGGAGCTGAAACACTACATAGAGTCTTTGGGTTTACTCCCAATACCATTCACCTGTATCACACACCACTCTCAGGATTAGCTCTCAGTGGGTCTCAAAAGTGATGTGAAGGATGATGCCTCTGCTGGGGATGAGGGAGGGAAATGTGATCTCTAGATGAATGTGTATACAATCGTAACATAAAATGCCAGAGCTTGTATCTTTCTTCTTTTCATATGCAGAATTGTATGACAGAAAAGAAAAAGACAATTTTGGGGGCAGGTTGATTTGAGATGCGATTTCTCTACATAGCCCAGGCTGGCCTGGAATTCACTATGTAGCCCAGGTTCCTGTAAGTCTTGAGCCTCCTGCCTCTTCCTTCCAAGTGATGGGATTATGGGCATTTGTCACTACAGCAGTCAAAAAGGCATTTTCTTTTGATCACTTAAAACATTTTAATCACTCTAAACATGATAATCACATGCAAAACATTTCATTTCTATTAGAAAGGAAATAAATTCAATAAAAAGGTAATTACGTGGACTTACCTCACTATCTATGGGGGATTGTTGTTGTTTCTGTGGACTTTGTGATGTTTTTTGCTAAATAGTCAAAAAGAGGAAGTTAGTTAGAATCTGAACACTAGAAATTATACATTTCATTTTCTAAAAAAGATCACATGAATTTATTTCTTGTTATTTACTACTTTTCTAGATTTACTAGTTAAGGAGACTGTACCCCGTCTTAACTTTTAGTTTAAATGAAAAAAAGCAAAAACAACACCATCATACTTCTCTGAGCATTAGTAGAGAATTTTAAAACCTACACATACACATTAGAGTATCTATTTGTCACCATGTTCTCCCACGAACTCATTCACTCTCAAGTGGCATTATATACCATGTCAGTGCTAACAAATTTAGCCTTCAGTCTGGCAAATCTCAAGTATTTTCAAAGGCTGACCAATGTCATCTCATATTCAATACCCCAAAATGAATTAAAAACTATTTATTTATTTATTTTTATTTTTTAATTTTATGTGTATGACTGCTTTGCCGGCACATGTATCTAATGCCTGCAGAGGCCAGAAGAGGGCATTGGATCCCCTGGAACTGGAGTTACAGATGGTTGTTACCAACCATGTGGGTGCTGGGACCTGAACCCAGGTCCTCAGCGAGAACAGCCAGTGCTCTTAACACTGAGCCATTTTCATAGCTCCATGAACTTATAATTTCTTACCAAAAGGCTGTTTACTAATTGTATTATTATGACAAATAACATTTTAACATCTATGTACTTAATGTTTTACAATGCTTTTCTTTTTTTTTTTGACAGAGTCTCACACAGCCCAGGCTGGTCTTAAATTTGCTATGTTGCTGAGGATGACCTTGAATTTCTGTTCCTCCTGCCTCCACCTCCCAAGCACAAGGATTACAGGTGTACAACACCAGCTGGGGATGGAATCTAAGGGCCCATGCTAGCTAGGTAAGCACTCTGCCAACTGAGCTATACCCCTAACCCTTAGAGTAACATCCCTAACCAAAGAGATGTACTCTTACACACAATATCTTGAATGCACTTTTTCTTTTTCTTACTCTGTAAGTTAAATACATAATTATCCTCATTTAGAGGTGAGAAAACAGAACAGAGATTGAGACACTAAGTTGGTAAATAGCATAATTGAGATTTAAATCTGTCTTCTGACTCCAACTCCTCTATGTTTTCCACAAAGCTAAGCTAGACTCCCATTAAGACCTTGCTTTAGGACCATCTTTATATATAAGAAAATTATCTTCAATGATTTATTCACTGGTCAATACCCATCTTTGTTTAAAGTATAAGGATGTCTATTTAGAAATCTCAGCTAATTTACAAAATCCACTGTAGTGGTAGAGGGTGCAACACCCACCACACTAATATTTAACTTAATAATAATTAATATTTAAGTTTAATACTATACATAAGAGGAAATTAAAGGCACAGAATGGTTCAGTGAAGCACACAGTGAGAGGTAAACATGGACTTGAATTCAGATACTTCTGATTCTTACTGCTTTGCCATGGTGCCAACCAAGCCTCTGGCATATTAGAAATGGTCTAATTTTAGGCTTTCATTTTTAAAAAATATTTTATTTAATCTGTATTCATGTATTGCCTGCATGTAGGTAAGCACACCTGTGTCATGCATTGCCTATGGAGGACAGAAGAGGCTGTCAGATCCCCTGGAACTGGAGTTCAGGACAGTTGTTAGCTGCCATGTGGGTGCTGGGATTCAAACCTGGGTCTTCTGCAAGAACAGTCAGTGTTCTTAACCACTGAGCCATCTCTCCAGGCCCCTTGGGCCTTTATTTTATACAAGTCTAATTACTGCAATTACTTTCTATTCCATTTTCACCATTTGGTTTCTTCCCAGCCTTTTCTAATATGAGTAGATTAGTTTTTTAGTCTTCGTGTTCTCATGTTTTTCTGTTGCCTACGAACTTGTACTTTCTTCTGTTTAACAGATCAAGATCAAACTCTTGTGAAATTAGTTTGACCTTAATCTGTTAGTGTGATTATTATCTGCTACTAGCTGTCAAACGTCTTCAGAAGGCAAGTGAAATGAGTTAATTTGTGTAGAATGTATGCACTAGCACCTAAGGTATATGTTAGTCACTCTCGACTACTGAGGGGCCATACGGTGTCCTAGTCAGAGTAAGGTCTGGAGCAAGCTGGCTTTATTAGAATTCTTACTCCGCCACCTACTAGCTGAGCATTGAATATAAATAGGCAAACTGCTATTCTTTCTGAGTCTCAGTGTTCTGATCCATAAGAGAGTGCTGACATTACCTATCTTATAGGAGGACCGGGAAAGTGAAGGGAGTACACACGAACACGATGCCTGGTGCACAGACAGTGTTCAGTAAATTTTAAGAAATACTATCGTTGTATTGACCTCATCAACTGGGTTTCTATTGTTGTTAGCCCTCAACAGAAACTCTAAACTAGTTCACATTTTCGTTAAGTGCTATTATTTTAAATGTACAAATTACATAAGATTGTTCCTAGTTCCCAACTTAGGGAGGTTCTTAGACCACCATGCACTTTTCTCCTGGCTGGCTCCGCCTTAGCTGCTTTAGGGTTCCACATCACTTCCTTCTGAGGGCAGTTCTGAGGGTGTGCTCTCTGTCTTCTGTGTCTGATACGCTGCTAGTACTTTCACTCCACGCTGTCTTATTTTCTGTTTTATCTGACTCCCTTACTCATTCTTCCCTGACAGGACCTAAGCTGCGCCCTATATTTTATTTATCTTTATGGGCACATCACCAGCACTCCCTCAAGGCCTATCAAATCAATGAATGAACAAGTGAATGAAGGTAGGCTTTATGAAATCTAGGTTTGCCTTCTCATTGTGAAAAGCAATCTACTGCATATGGTTACATTGCTTAATTTCTCTAGATCTGCAACTTCTTCCATGAAAACACACTCCCACCTTCTCTATTATAAATATTAAACGAATGAGTAAAAATCTTGACTAGTTTCTAAAAGGATATATAAAAAGTTCTTATTTGAATAAATCAAATAAGGACTTACAGGACAGGGAAATGGCTTGATAAATTAGGAGCAATAGTGTGTGATCACAGATGACCTGAGCAAAAACATAATGGCAGGAAGTAAAGGAGACTAGTAAGATGCCAGCAGCGTAACAGTGCTTTGTAGTTCCCTACGTAATCAGAGGTGAGAAGCACAAGAGGAGACGTGTCAGGGTAGAGAGGAGGAAGGGGACTGAGCGGTGTTCAAGCTAGCTGAGATAACCTCAGCAAAACTTGTTTCTAAGAGTGCTGATTACAGTTTATGTCTTTGGTCAAATGACTTACCTAGATTTTGAAAGAAAAAAAAAAAGGCAATGAGAGCTGGGCGTGGTGGCGCACGCCTGTAGTCCCAGCACTTGGGAGGCAGAGGCAGGCGGATCTCTGTGAGTTCAAGGCCAGCCTGGTCTACATAGTGAGTTCCAGGACAGCTGGGGCTACAGGGAGACCCTGCTTCAAAAAGACAAAAAAAAAAAAAAAAAAAAAAAAAAAAAAAAAAAAGGCAATGAAACTTGTTAAATGGAGAAGATTCCACTGAGGAGTCTAAAGATCATCATCACAGGATCGATATATTTGGGGCAAAAAAATGGAAGAATTCATCATGTAAAACATTAAAAACAAATGTGTAGAATACTTCAGAAAGGTCTTAAGCTACAACTCTAAAACATAGGAGAGAAGCTTTTTTTTTAGTGATTCATTTAACAAATATCTATGAGCTTTGCTATAGAATCAAATCGACTAAGTTCTAGTGAGGAAAGCAGATATGGCTCCTGTTGCAAATGAACAGGAGAGACGTGCAAAGCAAACAAAATGATAAGTACTTAATTATGAAGAAAAACCCCTAGGTGATTTCAGAATGAAAAAACAAATCATACCAGGAATGATATGCCAGAAGCTACAAGAATATTACGAAAAACGTTTTATACCTGAGTAGGTCTGGAGAACAACAGAAAGGAAAGAATCAGAGGTGACTGTAAAGAACGAAGCCCAAGCGTCGTGCATGTTTGGGCAGATTTGCTACAGTGAAGAGATAGGCTTAGATGACAACAGTTCAACACTCACAGGGCACTGACACAGTTTACTTAGCACCTGCACTTTTATAATTTTTAACGTGACACCTGAGATGGAAGAGGTGGCAGCCGAGCAGTAAAGTAGTACTGTTAAAAAGCAAGGTAACTTCTGTTGGGTTATAATTAGTCACAAGCAGGGAAGATAATGACTGTATTTAGTTACAGTTTCTCATAAGAGAAAACAATTGGTATATTAATTAAAGCTGCTGATGGTCTTGACAAAACAAATAAGCATAACTTCAAGAGTATCACTCAATGATCATAAAGGACTCACTTTGACAAAGTCCAGGACAGCATCTCTCTGAATCTGCTTGGTCCTTATTTTCTCCTCCTCATACTGAAGGGCAGCAAGCTGCGCCTCTTTCCGAGTGCGCTCTACCAACTGTTCTCTTCTCTGCTGAAGTTCTAAGTCTGTACGTGAAAGCTGCAACAGAGGTATCATTTTGTACATGCAAGTGGAGATAAGGATGAATTTATCAATAGCCATATCATAATGTTTTATTTTGCAGTCCTACCATTTATATATAAAATTTTAGTGTATGAGTGTATTGCCTGCATGTGTGTACATGCACCCATGTTATGCAGTGCCCACGGAGGTCAGAAGGTGGTGTTGGATTTCCCTAGAACTGGAGTCAAGGATGGTTGTTAGCTGCCATGTGGGTGCTGGCAATCGAACCTGGGTCCTCTGAAAGAGCAGAGTGCTCTTAACCACTGAGCCATCACTCCAGCCCCAGTCCTACAATTTAAAAAAAAATTTATTTATTATTTTTATTTTATGTGTATGAGTGTATTGCCTGCATGTATGTGAGTGCACCCGTGTCATGCAATGCTTGGAGGTCAGAAGAGGGAGTCAGATTCCCCCGGAACTGGAGTTAAGGACGGTTCGTAGCCGCCATGTGGGTGCTGGCAATCGAACCTGGGTCCTCTGCAAGAGCAGTCAGTGCTCTTAACTGCTGAGCCATCTCTCCAGCCCCAGTCCTACAATTTTAAAAAACACAATTACTGCTCATCTTTACACTGTTCTTTCACATAGTAAAAAGCCTTCATTATAGGTAAAGATTTATTCTGTCTCATTACTGACCGCGGGAACTGTCATGCAATTTGCGGTATGAACTGACTGAGAAGACAAATAGTAAAATTTATAGTTATCTGACAACTAGTTAGTAGCAGTTTAAGTGGTATAAAAGAAAACTGAGTTGGCAAAAAGGCTCGGCTGGTAAAGGCACTTGCCACCAAGTCCAACGACCTAAGCTCAATCCCAGAACCCACATGGCAGGAGTAGAGAATTGACTCCTGAAAGCTCTCTTCTGATCTCCACATGTGTGTGTACACACATTCACATACAAAAAATAAATGTTAAAAAAAAAGAAAAGAAAAACATCTTAGCTTAAAAAGTCCAAAACTAGCCGGGCCTGGTAGCGCACGCCTTTATTCCCAGCACTTGGGAGGCAGAGGGAGGTAGATCTCTGTGAGTTCGAGGCCAGCCTGGTCTACATAGTGAGTTCCAGGCCACTGGGGCTACAGGGAGACCTGTCTAAAAACACCAAAAAAAAAAAAAAAAGTCAAAAACTAAACCAAAAAATAAATCTACTAACAATTACCTGATTATGACTTGATGGCAGTGACAACACAGACGATGTCTCAACTGGAACCCTGTCCCCAAAAAAGAACAAGAACTTATTGACAAGATAGGCAAAAGGGAAAGGTGAAATTTCTATTAATGTAACTTTCTGTCAATCGGCAGGTATAGTGATCCCCCTTGTCCCTTAAGGACAATAGTGCTCTGCTCACTAATAGTTAACAGGCTCCTGGCACTTGGTTCACAAGAGCTAACAGACTTCTTTGGACTTTGCTGATGTAGAGGCTTGAGGAGAGGGCAGTCTGCTCCCAGGATGTTTCCACATACATCAAAGGAGGTCTGTTACCAGGCCAGTCACACAGCCCTGGGCACACTGTGCTGCTTTCTCACCATCAAGATGGGACAATTCCTATATGTTTTGCACTGCTTGAGGACTTATCACTGTAAACTCTGTGAGCTTCAAATACTGAACTTCCAATAAAGGCTCTCAGGATGGCAGTGAAATTGCTCCCGAGCAGTACAGCCAGGGACCCTTGGTCTAATCTCAGTTTTTTGGCATCAGTCAAGCAGGGGGTGTACAAGCAGGTAAGCTGTGAAAGACCTTTGGGAGAGTAAGTGCATTTTGTAAACTGGAGCCCAAGACATTGCATTAAACCACAGACCCACCTGATGTCCCAACTCACATTTCATGTGCTTATACCACTGACAACTAGTTAACAACTGTCTATGAGAGCCAATTCTAATGACAATTGAGATCATTTTTCAAACTATCATTTCTTTATAACATACACAACTGTTACCCACTTTGCTACTATGACTAAAACAAGAAAAGAAAAGTGTAAAGTGAGACCCTTTTATATACAAAGTCATTTTATCAACACATCTGGAATACTATAGGACCTGGCAGGTATTTGCAAAACAACCCTATTCTTAGTTTCAACTGTTGAAGCAACATTAGTAACAAAGTGTTCTATTGATTTTTATTTTTTATTTTATTATTTTTATGTGTATGAGTGCACTGCCTGCATCATTGCTGTGAGTTTGGATAAGAAGAGTCCCAGGAGCCTGTAGGACTATTTCCACATGGTTATACACCTCCTCCCTGGCTCTTACAATCTTTCCAGTCCCTCTTCCACAATGGTCCCTGAGCCCTGGGTGGGTGGATTTTGATATAGGAGTCCTGTCCAAGGACCCACACTTTGCAGACTCGTCTCTGTGTTTTGACCATTTGTGACCTTTTTTGTTCCTGGCCCTCTGTTGCATGAGGGAGCTTCATTGATGAGAATTGAAAGATGCATTAGTGTTCTTTTCATCCCTTGTTTGATGTTCCATGAGCCTTAGGTGTAGAGGATGCATCCTAACTACGCCACTTACACTAGGGCAATTCACAGACAATCTCTGTGTGTGACTAGTTGTGGAACTCTGTAATTATCTCTGTCTCTTGAAAAAGAAGTTTCTTTGATGGGTGGTGACTGGGATACTTGTCTATAAATTTAAGGATTCATATTTTGCACAGAGTAAGAAATTACATTTGTCTAGGGATGTGACAGCTTAGAGTTTTCTCTAAGATTTATGACCTCTCCAGTTATGTGTATTTGGTAGGTTTACAGTACCACAAATGAGTTTCTTCCAACTAAGTGAACTTGTAAGTCCAATTAGGTAGCTGTTGATTACCCCCGAGATAAAAGTGCCACTACTGCACCAGTGTCGTTTGCCGTGCTGGTCACTGATGTGGCTTTTAGGCCCTGAAGCTGGGGTTGGACCATCGACATGTTCCTCCCTAGCAGCTTACACAGTGCTCCCCAGAGCTTCTTCAGGGGAGGGGGCTTCCAGGTCAGTCCCAGCTCTGTTTCTCCAAATCCTGTGTCCTGTCTTCAGCAATAGGGGCTTACCTTCACGTTCTGGGAGGCAATCAAGGGCTGTGGCAACAGCCTGTGTAATTTTGGGCGTCTCTTGGACTACCCTGGCCAAGAACTCAAAGGAAGGTTTCTCCTGTCTGTCACTGTTTGTTATGTAGCCTTCACTTATACTCACAGACTCATGTAGAATATGTGTAATTTTTCAGTAGGTTTTTTTGACTGATACCATTCCATCTGGTTTTTTATGCTAGCTAGGCACTATTTATTTCTCCTCTTTCCCTCCCTGTCTTATCCTTTCTGCCCACTCTCCCAATTTAAAATGTCCCCATTCTGTTTGCATTATTGGTGTGCCTTGGTTTTCTTATTGGGTATGTAAAGTTGGTTGGTCTAGGTTTCAGGTTCTCTCAGATTTTATATTGGAGGGAACTGAAAGCTTCAGATCAGCTACTCAAGAGCTCCCACACAAGTGCAAGTCAGGCTCCAGTCAGGTACTCTCAGCTTCCTTCTAACATCTGGACCCCTACTCGCAGGCACTCACAGTACAATTTGGGACGTTCTCTAAGGGAAGGCCCGATTTTGGCACTCTCAGACAATCTGCTAAGGTATCAGCTCCTACTGTAGGGCAGAGTGGTCTATCCCTGGTGAAGTTGAAGGGGCCTCATATGGTCCCAATTAGGGGGTTGGGCACAGCATGATTGGGGAAGCCCACCACCATGCAGAGACCAGATCCAGGCACTCTCAGGCAGTCTAAGGTCTCAGCCACTACCCTGTATAGGGTAGAGAGGTCCAGCCGTGGTGAAGTGGGAGAGGCCTTATATGGTCCCGATTAGGGGGTTGGACATGGCAGGATTTGGGAAAGCTCACCGCCACACACAGGTGGAATCCAGGCACTCTCAGGTGGTCTGCTGAGGTCCCCAAAACTTCTTTAAAAAACAAGCCAAGCCAGATGTGGTGGTGCATGCCTTTAACCCCAGTACTTGGGAGACAGAGGCAGGCAGATCTCTGTGAGTTCCAGGCCAGCCTGGTCTACATAGCAAGTTCCAGGTCAGCTGAGGCTACAGGGAGACCCTGTCTCAAAAAGCAAGCCAAACCTATTGTCCCCATCTCCTCAGCTTTCTACTCACTCCAGTCTATATCTTGTTCTTACTGCATTGCTCTTGTAGCTCAGCTCTGTCAGGGGCACACTTTTCCACATCCTAGAGCTGCTTCGTGGGCCTCACCTCACTGAACTTATCAGTAGTGTGACATTCTTAGTCCTTCTATGTTTTCAGTTTTATTTATTTATTTTATGTGTATGAGAGTTTTGCCTGCATGTAATAGCACATGGGTATGTATCCACTGTCTGTGGAGGCCAGATAGAAAGCATCAGATCTCCTGGAACTGGAGTTATGGCCAGTTGTCATCTACCATGTGGGTGCTAGGAACTGAACACAGGTCCTGTACAAGAGCAGCCAGTGCTCTTAACCACTAAGCCATCTCTCCAGCCCCCTTCTCTTTTCACTCTAGCCTTTGGGACACTATCTTCCTTCTTCTATCCCTATGGCCAATCCTGCCCAGCTTCTTTTGCTAGTTGCTTAAGCTCTAAGTCTCTCCATTTCCCTCAAACTCATATATCTAACTGTTTACTCAATCCTTCAAGCAGGTGTCTGATTGGCATTTTATAGAACATGACCACAACTGAGCTTGTACCTCACAACTGTCCTTTGTTTATAGCCCTTAGTATTTTTTTAAAAATTTATTATTTTTATTTTATGTGTACAAGTGTATTGCCTGCATGTGTATAAGTGCACCTGTGTTATGCAATGCCCACGTTGGATACCCTGAAACTGGAGTTACATATGGATGGTTGTTAGCCACCATGTGGGTGCTGGGAATCAAACCTGGGTCCTCCACAAGAGCAGTCAGCGCTCTTAACCACTGAGTCATCTCTCCAGCCCAGTATTTCTTGCATATACCAAATTTATTGACTATACCAAGCATGTTCTTACTTCATGGCCTCTGCCTAGACTGTTCCTCACCTAGAGAGTCATAGTGCTTGTTCCCTTATAACTTCAAGTTTGTATTGAAATGTCACCCCATAAAATATTCTTCTTACTTTCCCTCTTGCATTTTTTCATAGCACTTAGCAAACCAGACACATAAATTTGTGATGCTTGTTTGTCTACATCTACCAAAATGTAAGCATTAAGATACTAGAGAGCTAAAACCAGGCATAATAGAACTCAGGAAGTTGAGGTAGGAGGATTGCTACAAGTTTGAGACCAGCCTGAGCTATAAGCTCAGCTGGAACTACATAAAGACTCCATCTTAAAAATTCATACAGGCCGGGCGTGGTGGTGCACACCTTTAATCCCAGGACTTGGGAGGCAGAGGCAGGTGGATCTCTGTGAGTTTGAGGCTAGCCTGGTCTACATAGTGAGTTCCAGGTCAGTAGGTCGGCTGGGGCTATAGGGAGATCCTGTCTCAAAAACAAAAAACAAAACAAAACAAAACAAAATGACAATTCATACAGAACAGGAGCTGGAGAGACGGCTCAGCGGTTCAGAGCACTGGCTGCTCCTGCAGAAGATCTGGGTTCAGTTCCCAGCACCTACATGGCAGCTAACAAAAATCTGTAAGTCCAGTTCCAGGGGATCTGACACCCTGACACCCTCTTCTGATTTCTGTGGGCATTGCACAACACAAATATACTCACATACATGCCAGTAATACACTCACACACATAAATAAAAAGAAAATACTTTTTTAAAATTTCACAGAAAACAAAACAAAATTAAGATATCAAGGAGCTGAGAATGAATTCCAACTGATGGCTAAAAGATGAAAAGATCTTAGACCTGTAACTCTGTGGGACCAAATTCTACCAATACCCTGAAACAGTCTCCTGGCCAGCCCAACACTTAAATTTAAGCTCTTAAGCAGAAAACCCAGGGGAGCCTGCCAAGGCTTTTATAGAACTGTGATTATAAAATGGCTGTTGTTTTATGTTGTGAAATTTCTAAGAAGTAATAGAAACTAATATAAAAGGAAATTAAGTAAAAATGCTGGCTTTTACCTTCAGGGTTTCAAATGAGGCCTAGAGACACCGAGTTTCACTTATGATAGATACAAGAAGTTAGAAGACCAGGAGGTAAAGCTTAGATCCACTCAAGGTGAAGAAATGTAATAGGAAACAAGCATATGAAACGGAGTTCTCAGAAGACCACACTCAAGGCTCTGGATGTAGTTCAGTTGGTTGGGTGCTGGCTAGTATGAAAGCAGTCCTGGGTTTGAACCTAGCACCACACAAACTGGGCATGGCAGTACATGCCTGCAATCTAAGTTCATGGGAGACGGAGGCAGGTGGACCAGAAGCCCAAGTCAACCTCAGCTACATAGAGAGTATGTACCAGGCTGTTCTGGGATGCCTAAGACCTTGACTCAAACAAAACAAAACTTATCATTGTGAGATAAATTTCAGAGCATAAAAAATTTAGTGAAACCTCTAAGAAATAAGTGATAAGTGTGTAAAAGGCCAAGTTATAAAATCTTCTCATTCATTATCTTTCCTACATTTTCTTTATTTTATCTATTATCACAGTTCCGGAGGCAATTTTAACACTGTTCAGAAAAAAGAAATATGTACAACAGATGCTATATAGTAAATTTACTGTCATTTAAGAACGGATATATCAAGCCTTCATACAAAAAGGAGGCAAAGGCCAAAGGTTGAGAGGCTAGAGAGATGGCTCAGCAGTTAAAAGCACTGGCTACTCTTGCCAAAGACTGGGTTTTAACCTACACAGCAGCTAACAATCGTTCCTAACTCCAGTTCCAGGGGATCCCATGTCCTCTTCTGACCTCCCTCCAAGGGCATTGCATAACACAGGTGCATTTGCATACATGCAGGTATAATACTCAAACACAAAAAAAGTAAATTAAAAAGAGAAAAAAAAAAAACCCAAAGCCTGAAGAACTTTTAACTATTATGTGAAATTTTTGGAATTCAAGAATGAGAAACCACATTGAGTAAATTTTAGAGATGAGGAGGCTAAGTGTAGTGGGAAGAGCATACAAATTGAAATCCGAATCAGAATGCAAAAACTTTTCTCTGTTATCTAGTCAAGATTTTAAGTTAAAAGAACTGAAGACTTCTGAAACATCTTTAAACTCTTTAAATCTTAAATTCATACCATAATCACCACAAAATTTCATTACTATTAAGTACTTTCAAACCAATTAATTCTAAGGTTTAGGTTTATGAAGTTGGAATCAATAAATTAAAATTTTTATGGTGTGAGCACAAGAGCACACGGACCCCTTTAAACGCATGATCTGTACAACATACACAACTTCACTATTCCCAGATCTGCACAAAACCAAAATCACTAACAATTTATTATTGAGTTTTAAGACAAAAAGAATAGAATTGCTTTTTCAAACCTGTTTTGATGTGAATGTCTTTTCATGTCTTCTGTTTTTTGAAACTCTCTAATGGCTACTGGCTTTATTGGTGAACCCTAGACTCCAAAACAACAACACAAAGCATACATAGATAAATTTAGCATGCAATGCTAAACACTGTGATTGTACTATTCACATTAGCTCAGCATTTAATAAAGTGTGTAGTATGCTAAAAAGTATTTTGACAGGGTTTTCCAATGTGAGTTTTATGTATAAAAGCATGTAGGCTCGCTGTGTGTGATGGTACATGCCTGTAATTCCAGCCTTAGGAAGTTGAGACAGGAGCATTGTGAATTTGAGGACCTCCTAGGCTATAAAGCAAGACCCTATCTCAGAAAACAAATGCAGGGCCTGGCAAGATGGCTCAGCAGGTAGAAACCTGAGTTGGATGTCCACAGCCCACATAAATGTGGAAGGAGAGAACCAACTACACAAAGCTGTCTTTTTGACCTCTTCATGCATGCCATGGCATGTGTACCCACATGGGCAGACACAATAATAAATAAAATAAAAAAAAATAAAAGCACAACCAAATCAGAACAAACAAACAAAAACCCCACTGTAGGCTGTATCACATGTGCACTGATAAGCAAAAATATTCATAATCTATGAATATTTATTTTATCTAAAAGGCTTCCTTCCCCGGGTGTGGTGGTGCATGCCTTTAATCCCAGCACTTGGGAGGTAGAGGCAGGCAGATCTCTGAGTTCCAGGCCAGCCTGGTCTACATAGTGAGTTCCAGGCCAGCTGGGGCTTCAGAGAGACCCTGTCTCAAAAAGACGAAAAAAAAAGTGTCTTCCTTCTCACTGTCTTATGTAAATTACAGTGATTAAACCGACTAATATTTACTGAATGGTGAGGAAGGACCTTAGAAATCATCTGTTACATGTGTAACTGCATCTACCCAGTTATATCCCTAGTCCCTCTTCACAGGATATTAAACCATCTAAATTAACAGTCCTTCGTCATATTTTCAGAATTTGCCAAATATGAGAATGCTTCATGACACAAAACCCACAAGAGCTTTATGGCACAGAATCATGAAAACTACCATACATAATAGGTGGCTAGAATTTAAAAACATCACAGTAGAGCCTACTACTGCTAAGGAAATAGCAGCACAGTGCTTCACAGTTCTTTAATAAGCCATTCCAGTTCTGGTGGAGACAGCCCATTTATATAACCTTGGTCATTACAAAATGGTCAAAGAGAAAGACCACAGGGGGAAAAAAGGGATTTCTTTAAAGATTTCTACACAACATTATTAATTAAATTTTATTGGAAAGTAACTCTTGGCTCCAGCAGAAAGATTAGCAGCTTGAACCACAAAGAAGTTTTATCAATCACTGGTTCATCACTATCTCTTGGCTGCAAGATTTGATTTATGTGACTTTATCTGATTTTTAAATACAAATCTCTTCTGAATTCCAACAAAAGCTACTCTGTTCAAAAGCCTTCAAACAAGAAAACCAAAGGATTCTTTTTAAAGAATGAGAGTATTCCACAACACATGATTGATCTCGATTTCTTCAAAAAGGCTCCCAGTGTTTCTCGAAGAATCCTGCTCAGGGCCTGGGACTCGGTCCAGACATCAACACGGCACACTAAATGAAGCCATTTTCTTATGCTGACTAGACATACTGAAGAATGTGATTCCACTTAAGACCTTTGGGGAACTGGCAGAGATTCTGCAGCAGGCTAAATGCTCACTTGTTTAAGGCAATTCAATGTTTCACTATATTCTCTTAAGATAAAAACAACAACATAATTAAACTTATTATTACTCTTCTATGGGTAAGTTAAATATTTCCTAAAAAGTCAACTTTTTGTATAATTCTTAATTACTGATCAAACTATGTTTTATAGTCAGCAACAATCATAGCAAAATAAACAAACCCACCAGAAAGCAAGACAATAACCAAGTATTATGCCTCATTTACTATCTTCAAAGGCCTTAACCCAGTCATAGGACTTTTTAATTCTTCTTCAAAATAATGAAAAATAAAACTTGAACCCTTTTTGAGATCACTTTCTGAGTTCCCAAATTAAGTCTGAAAAAAATCCAGGACTGAAAGCAGAAGTGAGAATAACACAATAGGTCCCAGCCAACAAGCCACATAACAGAAATTCACACCATCAGGAATCGCTTTTACCAGGGGATACCAACATATCTAGGCTCAAATGGGTGTAGTACCTCATGAGAGATTCTCCGCCGTTCAATATACGCCATGAACTGTGAACTGAGGCTGTTTGCATCCAGGCTCTTGGGTTGTCTGACATCACTCTCTTCGTCTTCTGCCATACAGCTGTCAATATAGTCAATCTGATCCAGATCATGTTCCACTGGTGGTGGGGGGACATTTAAAGTTACATAGCTAACAAAAGACATTTGCTTAAAATTATATTCTTCCCTTCCCAATGGAAGGAATATTTCCATTACACACACCTTTATCATTTAGTCTATGGCCACCCACAAAACTCGTCTCTTGAAAACATTAGTCCTAAATTCACTAAAGAAAGCAGAGAGGACAGTTTATTGAAGTATAGACACTTGGCATTTATTTTTCCTTTGGACAGCTCTCTAGTGTTTTAAACATGGCAATTTGGGTCTTGTGAGGTAGAAAAGGTGCCTAATTTTTAAAGATTGAAAGCCGCATCATTTTTTCATGTTTTAGTTTGGGGTTTAATAAATCTCCTTGGAGTACTGGGAGGCAGAAAACCTAACTCAAAAGAAAGCTTAAAAAAAAAAAAGGCAAGGCAGGAAGAACTGGTCCTGGAGAAAAAAGAAACTTATGACCATTTCCCTTCCTGTAGCTCGGACTTTTAAAAAAAATGAGAACAAAGATTTTTCTATTTAGAAAATTATTTGCTGGAGGTCAAGGCTATAGCTATTGCACACCAATTTGTGAATGAAAGGAAACCATCTGAGGAATTTTTTCTTCTCAAGATATGTTAGAATAAAAAGAGGGAAATAAAAGATACAGCCACAGAATTGTTTCATCTGGTAAACTTTGGAATATTCTATTATTTTTAAGTTTAAAGCTAACTACTTTTAATAACTAGTTAAAATGGCACACCAGGAAAATTCCTTGATGCTAAGAGGGCTTCTCCAGAGACGCATTAAACTGAACCATTTTTTTTTACAACGTTTCACTGTGCCAGGAACAGTAAATTTGACAAGTTAATTTTAAAATTTTGTGTTATTAGTTTATTAAGATCTAAAAGGATGAAAAAGTTATAAGTACACATCCACATTAAAAATGAGATAAATTCATTTATTCAATGCACTACAAGTTGTCCAACTAAATAGTTTATATCTCATACCACTTCTCAAAAAAGCAACATTAGGCTTTCATATGATCTAGACCAGCACAGTCCAAGACTAAATGATTATACACCACAAAAGTGAAACATATTTTACTTCTAGAGCTACTTTTAAAAAGGTAAAAAGAAAAAGCGCCATTAATTTTAATATTTTTATTTTACTCAATTTACCTAAATATTTTCATTTCAACATATATAAAATGTATTCTTTCATATGAAGTCTCCAAAATTTGGTGTGTATTTTGTAGTTACATCTCAATTCAGAAAAGCCACATTTTAGCTTTTTTAATTGGGGGGGATACATGCATGTGTGCACGTGGAAGTCAAAGGTCAGTGTCAGGTGTCTTTATTGCTCCACACCTAATTTTTCTTAATTTTTGTTACACTTATTTAGGTGGGGGAGACACATACACATTTGCCATGGCACAGGTGTGGAGGTCAGATGACAACTTGTTAGCTCTCTCCTACCATGTGAGTTCCAGTGATTCAAACTCAGGTCATCAGGTGTGGTAGCAAGTGCCTTTACCCACTGGGTCATCTTGCTGGCCCTCCACCTCATGTTTTGAAACAGGGTTTTTCACTGAACCTGGAGCTTGCCATTTTTGCTAGAATGGCTGGCTAGTGAGCTCCAGGATCTGCCCCCAGTGCTGGAGTTGCATCTGTGTGCTGCCATGCCTGACTTTTATGTAGTCACTAGAGATAGAACTCAGGTCTGCATGCTTGCACAGCAAATATTTATGTACTGAGCAACATCCCTAGGCCCTCAAAAGCCATATTTCAAACGCTCAATAACCACAAAGAGCTCCAATCCAGAAATCATGTCGTGTTAAGTGAACTGATGGCAAGGATATGTCATATGAGAGAAAATTTTAAAATAAAATTAGGAATCTAAAACTGGGATGACAGGAGTAAAGAAGAATGTAAGCTGGGGAGGACAAGACAGCAAAGAGGCAACTGACACCAGGTGAAACAAAAGCTCGTCTCAAAAATATAATGCATTTCTAAACATCAATGTAATATTATCTCTTAGAACAGGTCCTAAAAATCTGAACATTAGCCATTTATAATTCAAACCAAAAGAATACAGAATAGACTTCTGAAAACTATTCTGCTTCAGAAGTACAAGGAGGCAGAAGGAACTCTGCTTATTTTATCAAAACAACTACAAAGTTTAAGTATCAGAAGAAAAACTAGGACCCAGAAGCCCCAAAGAACATCATTCCAGATGAAAGAAAAAGCATTAAGATATGCCCTGGTGGGGCTGGAAAGATGGCTCAGCAGTTTAAAGCTCTTGCAGAGGACCTGGGTTCAGTTCCAAGCACCCACATGGCAGCTAACAACCATTCATAATTCCAGTTCCAGGGGAACCAATGCCCTCTTTTGACCTCTGCAGGCATTGCACAACATGGATGCACTTAAACTCATACACATAAAATAAAAAGATATGGCCTGGAAGATGGGCATGGAGGTGTGTGTCCATAGTCCTAGGTGCTCAGGAGGTTGAAGGAGGATCACTTGAGTTCAAGAGTTTGAGGTCAGCCTGAAAACACAGTTTTAAAACAACAGCATTGGCTAGATGGCTCTTGGGTAAAGGCACTTGCTGCCAAGCCTGATGACCCGAGTTTGATTCCCAGGACCCACAAGGTAGACGGAGAAAATGGAATCCTAGAGCTGTCCTCTGACCTCCTCGTGCCTGAGGTGGCACTTCCCCTCCAAATAAATAACTGTAATTTTAGAAGTTCAAAACAAACACAGTGGATACTTGAAAGAGATAACTAATCTCCTTAAAAAGAAGAATCTTTTTTTGTTTTGGTCTTTTTGAGACAGGGTCTCCCTGTAGCCCCAGTTGTCCTGGAACTCACTATGTAGACCAGGCTGGCCTCGAACTCACAGAGATCCACCTGCCTCTGGCTCCCAAGTGCTGGGATCAAAGGCGTGCCCCCGGCCTAAAAAGGAGAATCTTAAAAAGACTGATACTTCAAAAGAAGATTGTCATAGAATCAAGATCAGCAAAGATCTACTCGAAGAAAATTGTGCCTAGTAGTTTGGTCTTGAAGAAAGAAAGAGAAAAATTCAAGTTTCATCCCAGTAGCAAACATTTTTCATCATTCATGAAAAGAAGTCTTTTTAGAAGAGTAAAAGTAGCTACAGGTGAGTAAACAAAAGAGTAGATTTAAAAGATCACTTTAGGCCGGGAGTGGTGGTGCACGCCTTTAATCCCAATACTCGGGAGGCAGAGGCAGGCGGATCCCTGTGAGTTCAAGGCCAGCCTGGTGTACATAGTGAGTTCCAGGACAGCTGGGGCTACAGGGAGACCCTGTCTCAAAAAGACCAAAAAAAAAAAAAAATCACTTTAAGAGGCTAGAGAGATGGCGCAGAGGTTAAGAACACTGGTTGTTCTTGCAGAAGACCCTGGTTAGAATCCCAGCGCCCACATGGCAGCTAACAACTGTCCTTAACTCCAGTCCCAGGCGATCCGACAGCCTCTTCTGTCCTCTACTGGCATTGCATGACATGGGTGCACTTACCTACATGCAGGCAATACAGATGTAAAATAAAAATAAAATAAAAAAAGATCACTTTAAAAAAGTTAAGGTGGGAAAAAAAAAAGTGAAGTGAGCGGCCAGCCTCCCGTACCCACCACCACACAACCCTGCTGCTGCCATGTCCTCCCAGCCATCACGGGCAGTATTCTTCTGGAACTATAAGTCAAAAATACACCCTTCCTCCCTTAAACAAACAACAACAAAAGTTAAGGTGGAGGCCAGGAGTATAGCTCAATTGGTAGTCCTTGCCTATCATGCACAAGGCCCCAAGTTCAATCCCCAGCACTGCAAAGCTGGGTGTGGTGGCACATCCTCAGAGGCAGAGACAGGTAGATGAATTGGAGGCAGGAGGGCCAGAAGTTCAAGGGGAGGCAGAGGCAGGAAGATCAGAAGTTCAAGGTTATCCTTGGCTACATAAAGAAGTTTGAGGCCAGTCTGGGTTACACAAGATTACCCATTACCAAACAAGTCAGACTGGCACACACCTTTAATCCCAGCACTCAGGAGGCAGAGGCAGGCGGATCTCTGTGCCTTCAAGACCAGCCTGGTCTACGTAGTGATTTCCAGGACAGCTGGGGCTACAGGAAGACCCTGTCTCAAAAAAAACCACTTTAGATGTGTCAGAATTATGTCTACCTCCGCCATTTGTCACCACCACGGTGCTGCGGTTCTCCTGGTACTGGCTTTCTCTTCGCAGTCTTTGTTCTTTAGTAATCTCCGCTACTCGAAGGGACAAATCTGAAAATTCATCTGTAGGCTTAAACAGTAGAAATATTAAAAACAACTTACAATTTTGGACAACATGTTTAAAATATGGGTATTATATAATCTAAAATTTACATATAAGAAGAAATAGCAAAAATGTTTTGGAAATTGATAGTGAACATGGTGTATATATACAATGTCAATATATTTATTGCAACTGAAATGTTTACTTTAAATGGTAAACTACCACAATTAACAAAAAGAACAAAAGGATATTTATGATTATAAGTGCACACATGGATTTAAATGAGCTACATATATAAATCTGTATGTACACAGCCCCCCTCATATACATAGTCACCTCCACACACACATTAGTAATTACAGTTACAAATGGATTGTTATAATTTTGTTTTGAAGTCATAATGAAACAATAAACTGTCACTAGTCCCTCTAACAAAGGTTTAATAATTTAAATAATAGCTAAAATATACCGTAGTAATTTTTTTATTTTTATTTTTGGTTTTTGAGACAGGGTCCCATGTAGCACTGATTGGCCTGGAACTCTCTAATGTAGACCAGAGATTCACCCGCCAAAGTGTTGGGATTAAAGGCACGAGCCACCATACCTGGCCATACCTTGATAATTTTAAAAAGTAGAAAACATAATTCTATTCATTAATCAAAACCAAAACCAATATAATTTTGAGCATGTGAATAAACTTCACTGAGCTGTGGTCCCGTCATGCCGTTTCCCGTTTCCCCCACCTTCTGTGAACTGGGGACTGAGGCCAGGTCCTTGCACATGGCTAGGCAAGAGCTCTACGACTGAGCTAACATTAGAAGCCCAGGTTCCAATCTTTTTACCCATGAGTTACACCCTATTTACTTACTCACCAGCTTCCAGCATCCTTTCTACCACCTCTGTCCAGATCATCCAGCTCCTTAAATTCTAGGTGTCAAGGTTTTGGTTACTGTTTTGTTTGTTTGAGACAGTGTAGCCCAAGATGTTATGGAACTATGTAGGTCGAACTATCTTTAAACACCCCAGTCCACCTGCCTTCTCCTCCTAAAAGCTGGGATTATAGACATATGATGCTACAACGAAACAGCTTTCAGTTTTAACCAACTCAACTCCTATTTGACTTTCCAGAATATCTACTTAAATTAGACACGGTAATAAAAAGCTAGTAAAAGAAACAGTATAGAACTTTGAGGTGGTAGAACTATGTTGGGATTTTTGCCCTTTCCTAGATGTTTCTCTATTTTATGTAATAAGAAATTAAATCCAATTTAGGCATTTCCTTTTTTTAATAATCTTATTATTTTCTAAATTAGGAGTTATAATATATGAACAGAAGAACCACTTACCTCATTCCCTGACCACCTCTTATCACCACTGTCCACACTATTGAAACCTGAATCAAGGGCTCCATAAGGACGACTTGGGTACAGGTCTTCATGGCTGGCCAAAGAAAGCAGTAGCTCTTACTATGCAGTTTAATAATTAATACTTGAAATAACCAGTTAAAATTTTATTAAGAAGTATCCTCATGGCACTCAGTCACATAAATCATAGAGCTAAGTGAGCGTTCTTTGAAATTAAAAAAAAATATTTTATTATTTTTATGTGTATGAGTATATTGCTTGCATGTAGGTAGATGTATCTGTGCCACACAATGCCCTGAAGAGGCCAGAAGAGGGAGTTGGATCCTCTAGAACTGGAGTTATGGCTAGATGTTAGCCACCATGTGGGTGCTAGGAACCAAACCAAGGACCTCTGCAAGAGCAGCCAGTGCTCGTAATAGTTGAGCCGTCTCTCCAGTCCTGTCCTTCCAGCTTTCTTATCACTTGTTCTCCACTCCTCTCTGTTTCCCATCTCCCTTATGGTCTGTTCCTCCCCACAACGACCATTGTGTAGTTTCATGATCCTCCCTCCCTCTCCCTCCCTCCCTTCCTCGCAGTAGTATCAGTGTTAACACTGGCTTCACAGAATGAGTTTGGTATTTAATGCAACTGTTCCAGAGACATTAGCGCTAGTACTTCTTTGAAGGTTTGGTAGAATTTTGCAGTGAATCTACGTGGTTTTGGACTTTTTTTGTTGTTGTTGGGAAGTTTTAAAACCTTATTAGTGTTTTAATGTCTTTAAATTTAATTTTGGTATGCTGTATGTGTCTAGGAATTTATCCATTTGATTTTCTAGTTTTTTTTTTTTAATATACCCTAGGAATACTCTGTATTTTGTTGGAATCTGTAGTGATGGCCTCTTTTTCATCTCTCAATTTGTTATTTTGGGTGTTCTCTTTCTTTCAGTTAGACTGGCAGGGGTTTGTCAATCTTGTTTAAATCTTAACCGCTTTATTATGTCTTGCCATCTTCTGCTTTGGAGCCTGGGTTATTGTTTTTTCGGGATTTGCAGTGCATAATTAGGGTATTTGAGATGTGTCTGATTTCTTTTTATGTGAACTATAAACTTTCTTCATACAACTGCCTCAGCTGTATCCTAGGGGTTCTGACATGCTGTAATTTCATTTTCATTTGACTCTGGGAATTTTTAAATCTCCTCCTTGCTTTCTTCAGTGACTCAATCATTCAGGGGTGTACTGTTCTATCTCTGCGTACTTATGTAGCTTCTACAGTTTTCCAGAAGTATTGCTTTTTTTTTTTTTTTGCTTTTTCTACACTATGATCTGATAAGCTATAAGGTTATTAAGATTCTTTTGTATTTGATAAGACTTGATTTGTGGTCTAGATTGTGGTCTCTTTTATTGAAGGTTCCATTGCTCTCAAGAAAGTACCTTCTGTTTCTTTTTCTATTTTCAATTTTTTTAAAGATTTAAAAAAATGTATGTGTACCACATGCATGTAGTAGCTCTCAGAAGCCAGAAGAGGGCATTGGATCTCCTGGAACTGGAGTTACAGGTGGTTGTGAGTCGCCATGTGGGTGCTGGGAACTGAACTCCAGTGCTCTGTAAGAGCAGCAAGTGCTCTTAACTGAGGAGCCACCTCTCTAGCCCTCTTTTGTATCTTTTGATCTCCAGTGTGGTTCAGTTATGAAGTTTCTTTGTTGGTTTTGTTTGTGTGTGTGTGGTGTACACCTCATTGCATATTTGGAGGTCAGAGGACAACTTGTGGGAGCCAGTTCCCTTTACCATGTGGGTCCCAGGGATTGAACTCAGGTCAAGTAAGGGCCTTTACATGCTAGGCCAGTCTCATCATGGAGCCTGGGCTGGTCTGGAACTCACTATGTAAACCAGGCTGGCCTGTTTCACAGACAGTCCCCTGCTTCTGCCTCCAGTGTACTGGGAATAAAAGCAGGCACCACCAAGCCTGTGTTTGTTTTCACTTTTAATAATACTTTTTGTTTTTGAGACAAGGTCTCCCTTTAGCCCTAGTTGGCCTGGGAGCTCATTATGTAGACCAGGCTGGCTTTGAACTCACAAAGATCCACCTGCCTCTGCCTCCTGAGTGCTGGGACTAAAGGTGTGTGCTACCATACCTGGCTTAATAATACTTTTTTCCAGATAAAATTCACATAGATTTAAATACACACATCTTGGTGGTATAATTTTGAAAGGCGGCTATGTTTGTGCCTCTCTCATGGCAGAGCACATTTCTGTTCTGCCAGTTTCCACTCATCCCTCCCTTGTTAGTTCTTGTCACTTTGTTATTGTGTGCTTCTTGTGGACAACCACTGCTGAGGATTTTTCTGCTTCTTGTTTATCTGAAATTAGTGTGGAGGCTGAACAATGAATGGGCCCTAACTATGAACTACTGAAACTTGCGTATTGCCTTACATGGCAATAGGAATTAAGGCTGCAAATAATAATACTGATTAAAAAAAAGATAATTTTAGGGTTGGAGACATGGCTCAACGGTTAAGAGCATTGACTGTTCTTGCAGAGGACCTGGGTTTGATTCCCAGCCCCCACATGGCGGCTTTGAACCATCCTTAACTCCAGTTCCAGGGGAATTGGAAGCCCTCTTCTGACCTTCACAGCATTGCACAACATGGGTGCACTCACATACATGCAGGCAATACACACACACACACACACACACACACACACACACACACGAAAGATAATTTTAAAATAGGGTGATTAGTCTACTGAAATCAAAAGGCTTCTTAAAAGTGAAAGGAGACACAACTTTAGTGTATTATGATACTGGTCTGAAGATGAAAGAAGGGGCCATGAACCACAGACTGTAGACAGTCTCTACAAGGTAGAAATGGCTAGAAAAAGGATCCGACACAGAACTCACAGGAAGGAGCCCGGTCCTGATTTAGCCTGTTCATGAGAATTTTAAGACAAACATTTTTTTGTTGCTCGTCTATAAAGATTATGACAATTTATTATGTTGAAAAAAGAAAATTAATATAATTAGCACAGCATATTCTAGAACTTACAAAAATGGAATCACATATTCTTTGAGCTAGGTAGGGTTTTATTTCTCAGCATCATGTTACTGAGAATCAATTTTTTTTTGGATACAAGTTGGCTAACATTCATATGTTTTATGAATATTTTCTCCCAGGCTATATACATTTTCTTTGTATGAGTAGATACTCTTAATTTAGGTGAAGCATAATTTATTACTTTTATAGCTATCACTGTCTCTGTGTTCTCAGAAAATGTTGCTGATCGCAAATCAGCAGGATATCCTTTTATATATGCTTGTGAGGCCAGAGGTCAACAGCAGTGTCTTCCTTGATCACGCTCTACCTTAGTTTTTGAGACAGTGTCTTTCATGGAACATGGCACTCACTGATTTGGCTGACTAGCAAGCTCTAGGGATCCATCTGTCTGTCTTTGCCTCCCAGCACTGGGATTAGAGGCCCAGCATTTTACATGGGTGCCGGGAATCTGAACTCAGGCCCTCAAGTTTGTGTGGCAAGCACTTTGCAGATTGAGCCATCTCCCCATCCCCAAAGATATTCTTTTAGGATAATTAACATATATTTTAAAATAACACAAGGACTACAATACTTCCCACCCAAAATTAGGTCTGCCTCAGGACTAAGCAACAGGTCACAGAGAAACAGGTTCTGCAAATAGTATATGAACCCTCAATCAAAGCTCACTATCCATTATTTAGTCTCATCAAATGATCTTCAAATACACACAGCTGGCATTCACCATCAATTAACTATCTTAAACTTCAAATGTAACAGTAGCAGTTAGATGTTCCTACTCTGCTATTTCAGGACAGGGAAGTTTTTCCTTACCAAGGATTACTAACTCCAACAGGGAAAATTAATTAGTATACACGAAATAAAAGTCTACTTTTCATCTGTTGTACATCTTGTAAGAGTATAGGCTAAAAGAATTTTTTTTTGGGGGGGGGTCTTTTTTTAGACAGGATCTCCCTGTAGCCCCAGCTGGCCTGGAACTCACTATGTAGACCAGACTGCACTTGATCTCACAGAGATCCACCTGCATCTGCCTCCTGAGTGCTGGGATCAAAGGTGAATATCACCACGCCTAGCAGATAAAATGTTTTTAATGAAAACTTAAAACAGAAAAAAAAGCCTTTTGCCCATCACTAACAAGAGTTTCCATATTATAAGCAATTAACTGAATTTGGAGAAAAAAGAAAATGAGGAAAATGTGAAACGAAAACCTCCTGCAATAATGGTCTGAGTCACATCATAATCAAAATCTTCCTTCTACAAGAGGCTTAGCTCTAGCACATTATCAAACTCATCTTCACCATCTGTCCAAACCTTATCTTTTAGGTCCTTAACATCCTTTACCTACTTTGGTCCTCTCAGAGCTAAAACCATCTGTTAACCATCAGAACTGAGGATGCTCTCAGCAGGAATGGTTTGGAGGTATGATTTTCATTTTCTTTGTTGTATAAATATCCTAAAATCTTTATTACTCTATGTTTAAGTAGAGGTGGGAGCTAGTATTTCAAACTCAGTCTACCTAAGTATTCAATGTAACAGCCACACTAAAAAACCTCGACTGACACTACAAAGTTCTTTCCGATGACTTTAAGCAGAGGAAAGCCTGGAGGAAATATTGTATAATTAAATAAATGCTTTTTTTTTTTGTCTTTTTGAGACAGGGTCTCCTTGTAGTCCCAGCTAACCTGAACTCACTATGTAGACCAGGCTGGCCTTGAACTCACAGAGATCCGCCTGCCTCTGCCTCCCGAGTGCTGGGACTAAAGGCATGCGCCACCATGCCCAGCCAAATGCTTTTTTTTTCATTCAATTGTTATCTGTGGAATAATTACTGTGTATGCCACCTACTCAGTTGAGTGAGGAATACCAGAGTGAAGACACCATCTGTGGCAAAGGATAGAAGGCAAGGCCCAAAGAGTAATACTCTGTTTACCCAATAAATCATGTTCTATGTAAGTGAAATTTTCAGATAGCTTGAGAGTACACCTTTATAATATAAAACATTCAAGCATTTTCTTTTAAACATTTATGATAGAAACTAAATTATAATATATTTTCCTTTTCTAAAAATGATACATACATGTTTGATATACCATAGAAATGCTTGACTACAGAAACCACATGGAAATTTATTTATATGGTTTAGGTTACAAAACTGAAAAGCAAGCTGATTGGACTGTGGTTTTAGCAAAATGTGACAGGTTCCGAATCGAAGTCTGAGAAGCTCTATGTTGAGTAAAGGTCATGAGCATTACTGCATCTTTACTGGGATATCCATATTGCCCATTTTAAATTTAATTCTTATACTTAAAATTGCTCCACACAGCTGGAAATGCCAAGTATGATCTTACAAGTCACATGTATGTACTTGAGGGTTTCATAGACTAAAAGATCTTGAAGTGATGTTAATAGTCAGTATATCCAATCCTTCTTCACTCTCCTGAAGGAAATAAAACTCAAAATATTCAAATGACTTGCTGTAAGTCAGAAATTTTTTAAGTAGTACAGCTAAGTTTATATGCAGTATCTGGAGACATTTAAGTATGTATGTTACACTGGAAAGGTGGCACTGGCATTCAGTAGGTAGAGGCCAGGGATACTACTAGTTGTTCCACAGTATAGAGGATAGCCTCTCATAACAAAGAATTGTCTGGATGACAATGTCAATAGTACCCAAATTGAGAGAGCCTGATGTAGAACTGTACTTTCTCAGATCCCTGTAATTAATTCACATTTAATGCACACATTCTGAGAATAGAGTGCTGCTTCCTTCAGACAAACATTAAACCAATTTAAAGATTTAGCTTATTTGATTCCGTTGTGATGTACTATGACAAAGGAATAGCACATACTTACCAGGAGCCAAAACCCAAGGGTCTCCTTTCATACTCTGGCAGATCTGGAGCAATCTTACAAGCTTGTATGTTCAGGTATTTAAATATGTGGATTTTACCTTTTATACATATCTAAATAAAATAACATAAATGCAACCAAATTATTACTCATTTGAAATATAGATGTCCTTTTATCATAACTAGCTTTTTATGTAATACAAATTGGGTCTTGAAGGCATCTTTGTTAAATATGTAGGGTAATGATTAAAAAAAAAACATATCATCTGGCTTAGTGTTTATTTTAGGTTTTTATCTTTTAGCTACTAGAAAGTTTAAGTAAAAGAAATAATTTACAATTATAAACACTATTACAATACCAAGTAAATTTAACACAGTGATTAGTTATGCACAGTCATAATGACTGCCATAAACTTACATAAAATCATTAAAAAACTGCAGAGTAAGGGCTTGTGAGATGGCTTGGCAATATTATCCCCAGAATCCAAAGATGGAAGGAGAGAATGGACTCAAAGAAGTGGTCCTCTGACCTCCAGCTCTGGGACTAGAGAGATGGCTCAGCAGTTAAGAGCACTGGATGCTCTTGCAGAGGACCCAGGTTCGAGTCCCAGCACCCACATGGCGGCTAAGTTCTAGGGGTATCCAACACCCACTTCTGGCCTCTGAGGCATGACACAAGTATACTCACATACATGCAGGCAATATACTCATATACATAAACAATCAATAAATAATAACGGAGCAAAAAATAATTACCGTTAAGGATAAGAGCTATCATGAAGAACTGTTCAAATACAGTGAAATATTATTATGATAACTATTTTAAGGTGGTATAATTGTTATTCTTAAATCAAAAAAAAAAAAAAAAAAAAAATCAAACAAAATAAAATCCCCAAACAACAACAAAAAAAACCACAGTAAGGTAGAGAGCGACTAAGAAAGCCATCTGACATCAACCTCTAGCACATACACGAACACTCACAAACATACATACCAAAGTGCCAAATCAGTGAGAGGAAAAATGTTTTTGGAAACATCATCTTTCTTCCATCCCATTTATTCAAGGCTTCTAAAGAATGTGTATAAATTTTTTAAAAAGAACTTTCTAATAGAAAGATAAATGCACAGAACTAAACGTCATCCATAACATATTTCACTGATAGTTTACCTGTGCAGGAGGTGACTGTAGCGGATTGTTATCTAGGGTGATCATCTGTAGGTGCCTGAGGTTCCGATAACAAACAGGGATTGCTGTAATTTTATTGCATGAGAAGTCTAACCGTATCAAAGGCAACTCTGCCAGCTCTGCATGGAGGTAAAATGGAAGTGAACAATTAATGACATTTTAAAACTGCACATTTTCTTTTTACAGGAGTTTCCGGTTAAATGTGGTAGATTCAAATAGTTATTTACATCTATTCTTGGTGACTGATATGTCATAAAATGTGTCTACAGATAGGAGGCATGCTAATAAAAATCAAGCAATTTAACCCCCACCCATTGGCTCTCAGAAGCTAGAGACCATTACAGAAAATTATAACAGAAAAACTAGATGACAGTCTTTTTTTTCCCTTTTTAAAATATGCATGAGTGTTTTGCCTGCATGTATGTAAGTGCACCTGTATCATATAATGCCCCACAGAGGGCAGAGGAAGGCATCGGATTCCCCTGGAACTGGAGTTACAGGCAGTTGTTAGCCACCATGTGGGTGCTGGGAATTGAACCCGGGTCCTCTGCAAGAGCAGCCAGTGCTCTTAACCACTGAGCCATCTCTCCAACCCCTAGGTGACAGTCTTTATAAATAGCTAAAATTAGATGCCCGTATCTCCAGTTCCAATTTACAAGCTGGGGCATGCCCCATCTTCAATTGCTATAGGAGCTAGCAGGTTATTCTCTAATTAAATTATATGAAAAGGCTCTGAATTTAGGAAGCAAGGTTCAATAGAAAGTGAGGATTAGTCACCATTTGAAAATGGAGGATGTGTCAATACACTAATGGCAAGTCCACCTTCCACCTACCCCATTTTATCCAGTTCTGAATGCCAGTAGTTAGAAATACAAACACTATAGAAGAGATGCCACAGCTTTCTCTGGAGAAACCACACAGTCCCATTAAAAAAGCCCCTTAGATACTGATAAGCTGCCCTAATAAAACATGCAGTCTGTTGCTTAATTACCCTTCAACAATTTCTGCACAATACATTCAGAATGACTGTTATGCTGTTTATACCTGATATATGATCCACAAAACTTTAGGGGTTTCCAAAAACATCTAAGACAGAAATAAAAATGAACCAACTAATTTTTTTTTTTGGAGACAGGGTCTCCCTGTAGCCCCAGCTGTCCTGGAACTCACTATGTAGACCAAGCTGTCCTTAAACTCACAGACATCCACCTGTCTCTGTCTCCCGAGTGCTGGAGTGCTGGGATCAAAGCCGTGCGCCACCATACTAATTTTTAAGAAGAACTTAGAAGAAATAAGTAATTGTATGGGAGGAGAAGGAAATTTGAAAAGCTAGAGTATCTTTAATTTCAGAGAAACAAGATACCCAACCATTAAAAAGTCATGTCAAATCATCACAGAGTAATTAGGCATTTTAGAAAAGTATAATGGCAAGACTAAAAATTCAGAATGAATTTCTGAAACTTAAAATTTAAGAATGGTTTGAACTATTTTACTAAAGGTAACATAATGACAAAGAAAGAAATAATAAAAGCAGTGAGAAAATCCAAAGCATCAAATTAAATTTGAAAAAAACAAAACAAAACAGAAAAACCAGGAAAAAGGAAATTATCAAGTTTGGTGAGGATCCAGAGTTAAAACCCACACTGTGGCACATTATCAAAGTTCAGTGAACAGGAATAAAGGGAAGGGCTTCAAATCTTCCCAACAGAAAAAGTTGGTCACAAAGGAATGAGATGAGAGACGGCATCATATTTGCATCAAGACCTCAATATTACTGGGTGTGGTGGCACTCACCTGCAATCCCAGCACTCATAAGGTGTAAGGCAAGAGGACTGTGAATTTGAGGTAAGGCTATATACTAGGACAGCCTGTCTCAAACCAATCAACCAACAAAAACAAAACAAAAATAAACACACACATACACACACACACAGGCACACTTCAATGTTTTCACTAAGGGATTTCATGTTAGTAATCTTACTATATAAGCAAGCCTCTAAGATAAACTATAGTGAGTGGTTCCTGAGGAAAGGGATGATCCTAGAGAGAATTTGAGGGCTAGTGTTGTAAGTGGGTGGGTGGGTATAATCCCAGCCACTTGGGAGTCAAGGCAGGGAGACTGAGACTTTTAGGACTGCCGGGTCAAGTCAGACTCTGTTTCAGAATGGAAATAACTAATTAACTAACTAAAATAAATGAAATGGGGACATAGCTTAGTAAATAGAAGCCTGTCTAGTGTGCATAAAACCCTGTTAAATTCTTAGTACTGAAGGGGGGGAGGAGAGAGAGAGAGACACACACAGAGAGAGAGAGAGAGAGAGAGAGAGAGAGAGAGAGAGAGAAAGAAGGAAAGGGAAAGAGAGAATATATTTTGAATTAGAACATATGTCATAAGCCTGGATTTCCTGAGAGTTTCCATCACCAACCTGAGTTGGTGACAAAAACCAAGAGGAAATTAGGAAAGCCCTAAAGGCAAAAGGCGTGAGGGTTACTGGACAAGTTTAGAGAGAAAGGCTGGGATTGTTGGGCAATGTATGGTGACAAATGCCTACAGGTAAATGGGGAAATAATTTTCTTAAGGGTTTACTTGAGATTCAAAATGTCAAATGTTGTTAGAACTAAGTATTTACTGGATCAAACTGGTATAAATGTTTAGACTTCACAGTGAAAGCAAAAGCATCATTAGTTAACATTTATTCTAAATTATGTCATATTTTATAGAATCTAGAAAACCACTGCTATAAAAATATTTTCTCAAGATTTAACTTTCTTTTTATTGTTGTTGTTGGCTTTTTCTTCTCTGTTTGTTTTTGAGACAGGGTCTCACTAAATAGCCCAGGCAAACCTCAGACTCTTGATCTTCCTGACTCTAGCTTCCCAGTGCTAGGATTACAAGAAAACGCCAATACATAACTGATTCCTTATTTTTTTAGATACAAATTCTGATATGTTTATGAATTGTTTTCTAGAATTTTCTTTGGATTAATCTATAAGATTAGGGTGATGGTATGTATAAAATAAGAGTCATCACAAGCAGATCATTCTGGTAGCTGGATGCTAAACACATAGAGTTCAGATATAAGAAAATTTCCATGACCAAATGAAATAAAAACACAGTCTGGATCTCTGTGAATTCAAGGCCAGCCTGAGGATATCAGGTCAGCTGGGGATACAGGGAGACCCTGACTCAAAAAGATCAAAAACGTCTTCATTTTCACTTTCATTTATAGCCTTTCCTTTTCTGAATTTCTTTTTAAAAAATTTTTTAAATGTGTATGAATGTATTGCCTACATGTTTGTAAGTGCACCCATGTTGTGCAATGCTCACAGAGGTCAGAAGAGGATGTTGGATCCCCTGGAACTGGAGTTAGGATGGTTATTAGCTACCATGTGGGTGCTATGATTTGAACCCAGTTCCTCTGCAACAGCAGCCAGTTCTCTTAGCTGCTGAGCCATCTCTCCAAGCCCCTCTTTTCTGAATTTCTATTTGTGAACGATTGATAATATTTAATTACAGTCTGCCTACAATAAACAGTCTTCTAGTACAGCTGTTCATCTATGATTATACCTTCACATCCTTAATTAGACTTTGTTTAAACTTTTCCTGTGAAGGATTAAAAAGATCAGTTCAAACTCCATTTATTTTTTCTTTCTTTTCAAAGTCTAAAAGTCAGTGCTCATTGAAGGAATGATTCTTGGGGGGGGGGTCTTTTTTTTGAAACAGGGTCTTCCAGTAGCCCCAGCTGGCCTGGAACTCACTATGTAGACCAGACTGGCCTCAAACTTATAGAGATCTGCCTGCCTCTGCCTCCAGAGTGCTGGGATTAAAGACTTGCGCCATCACGCTCAGCTCGCAGGAATGATTTTTATTACACTATCCCTTTATCAAACTATCCCTTTATCAAACGTATTGCATTTCTCCCAATAGTCATGCTTACTAAAAATTCCCAATGCCACTCCCCAGAACTGTCAACTACAATAGTTCATTAGTCAACAGGATCTAAAGATGGAATCACTTGATCAACAATTACCAATCAAAATTTTTCAATGAAGAAATTTTTGCTATTGTTTTGCTGGTACTGGGGATTGAACTTCAGACCTTGAACAAGCTAGCGAAACACTCTATCACAGAATTATATAGCCCTTGTCTGTCTCTCTGTCTTTTTGAACACAAGGTCCCAGGCTGGCCTCAAACTTACAAATCTCCTCCCAGTCCACCTTTTTTTTTTTTTTTTTTAATTTTCACAAAAACGGTGAGAATTTCATACATGCATATAAGGTGTTTTGATCAAATCCATGCCCACTCCCTCCCCTCCAACATTCCCTCCTCTGAAGAGGTAACCCTAAAATCTTTTAAGGATTAGATACAAGCCCTCAAATACTTTTGACATTTTTGGCCTTGGAACAGAGTGTGTTGCTAACAGGTCCAAGGACATTTTGACTTTTTGCCAACAAACTGGCTACATTTCTTTGGGGTCTTTTTACCCTAACTGCCCGGCCAATTCTTACCTCCTATTCTTACCACGCCATCCTCTGAAGGGGTTACCCAAATTGCCAATATGGAATAGGGACGCCGACTGCTCTGGCTTCTTCCATGCTGAACAGGGGCGCAGGGTGAGGCAACTGGAGTACCCCTTCAGTGGGTCTATCTAAAAGACTCCAAAATTACATAACTTTTGTCTCTAAGGGGAGAAGAAATTCCTCGAATCATGAATGGGAGAGGTGAAGGAGAAGTAAAGGCAAGAGTAATTAGCATTACAAGTTCTAGACGGGAATTAAAAAAAGAACAGGGCAATTTTCAAATGTTCATATGAGAGTCCATTGGAGTTTCTTGACAAGGGCTTCCAAAAGCATCTCTCTATTAGGTTCTTCCTCATTTTTCTTTTGTCTTCCAAGGCTGGACTAGTTGGCTGGGAAGAGTGGCTGGATATTCAGGTGAGGGTCCAGTGATCCTGCTTGGCACCCCTTTAATGAATGAGCACAACCATCGACAAGCCCAATTGTGTCTATGTTTAGCGATCAGGCTCAGCTGAAGTCATGATGATGGTAATTGTTTCATGCAAAAGGGACTGCTGTATAGCATCATCTTATTAAAAGGACCTGGAATTTAAAAGGATTT